AAATTATCTGTCATTTAAAACTTATAAAAATAAATGCAATATTTTATTCCATTTATTTTTATTTCAATTTACTATTTAGCTTCCCTTAAGTGTTAACCCTCTGTGAATAGAAAAATTTCAAAATGAACGATTCAATAAATTGTTATAAACTGAATAATAATTCAAATTTCATGTTTACATATTCATCTTTTTTATTAGAAACATAATAAGTTCTATTTATTTATACCATTATTTGCATGCAGTCTCACCTGACAACTAATCATATTTTTAATATGTGCTGGATTATTTGTTTCATCTCTATATCTTGGGCCTCAGTTTAAACTAATCATTCTAGCCCATACTAAGCAATATTTGAACACGAGACAAGGAGCAAGAAATAACCTTTTAATCAGACATACATTAGCACAGTTCCTAATTTTAAAGTGAAATTAGTGTGTCAATTACAATAAATTATTATACAAAACACAATTAAATATTTATGTTTGACTAGCAACTGTCTTTATATGCTTTATATGACAATCCAGCAAATTGCTGTCATAAATTATATTTTTACAGACTGCATAACGAGCTGATTGTCCTGTCACTATAATGCACAGCGCTTGTGCATTTTGGTCTCTGAAGCACAATCAGACAAGAGTTTATGCAACCTACACATTTTAACTTTGATGAGGGCAGAGGGGACTCTCTAAAGCGCATTCTCATACTTTTTATAATCCCACTGAAAGAGTTCTAAGATATTTTAAGCAACTCCAAATCCCGGTTTGGATTTTTTCCCCCATTTTACATCACAATCCTATATAGATTGTGGCTCGGAAGCAAATGCCATTGAATTTTAAAGAAGTTGTTCTGTATAAGTGCACACGGGACTGCTCCAATAGCCCTCTCCCATATTTTTCTCCTTCTCCTTTAAGTGGGTGGACAGAGACATTTGGCTTCCTTGCTACCAAACACGGTATTCCCCTGATCAGTTACAGCCCTTACCGTTAGCTCCAGAGATGTGAAGATAATTAACGTAAAAACCCACATGGCTGGTGCTTCCTTCTTCCTTTCACTCCTTGCACACAGATCAAAAGTTACTTCCATGGGTTCCTTGATGTTCTTCCCTCTCTCCTGGATAACGTGGCTGTCTGCAACTTGCTGGTGCTGTTATATCTGTCTCTGAATACCAACAGGATGCTACAACACCTCCAGCCACAAGCATGTTAGAGTTTGTGCAGTCATGATATTTCCACCTCTCTCTTCCATTACTCATTGTTATCATCTCATGTCAAGAGGAAAGATCAATCCTTTGTGTTCCCATGGATAAGGGAACAAATCTGGTTATGGGACAACTGCATTCGTTTCACCCAACCAAAGATAAATCTGTCAAGGCATGGAAAATAACAGAAATTGTTCCAGAACCTAGAAGGAATAAAGTGGCGGCATAAACCAATTTCTGGCAGGAGAAAAGCCACCATCCATGGGGTGATTCAGCTAAACTGAAACACTTTGCTAGTATCTGCCCTGTGCAAATTGCATTTCCCAGGAGCACAGATATTCAGAGAGCATCTTTGACAAAAATGTATGCTCCATCTCACAGGATGGCTGCTGGATGGAGTAGTCTTGTCTCCTTACTTGGGCAGAAAGCAATATCAGTACAAAGCAATCTATTCTGGTATGACAACTATATAATTCCATCTATACCAACATGATTCTCTAAACAAAAGGGAAAGGCAGGATATAAGTTTCATAGAGACCAAGAAACTTTTTAATAACTACATGTTATATTGATGTGGATGGAGGAATGGAAGAGGGAGGGAGAGAGGGGGGAGGGAGAGAGAGAGAGCGGGGGAGAGAGAGAAAGAGAAACTAGATGTATCAGAACTCAAAGTTACCATAACTAGTTAATTTTCAGAAACAGAAGGATTCAGAAGAGGAAAAAAAGTAAGATAAGAACACATATTGTTCCATTTATGTTTAACTTACACAGCATATGCATCATAAGCATAGTGTGGGGAAGAGATGACAGCTGGAATAAAAGTTGAAAAGTTTCAAAACAATAAGAATTTGTGATATGTAGATGATGCCAGGGGTGAAATCCAGCAGGTTCTGACAGGTTCTAGAGAACCAGTAGAGGAAATTTTGAGCAGTTCGGAGAACCAACTGTTCTTTGGAGGGACAAAAACTGAAGCTCAAGCTCAAATACTTTGGCCACCAAATGAGAAGAGAGGACTCCTTGAAAAAAACCCTGATGTTGGGAAAGATGGAAGGCAAAAGGAGAAGGAGACAGCAGATGATGAGATGGTTACAGAATGTAGATTGTGCAACCTTTCAATACCGGAATCACTTCCAACACTGGTTTAACATTCTCACAGTATTCAAATGCCCCTGCACAAAAGGGGCCACAAACAATATAGCCTTAGCTCTGCATTGTTGGAAGAAATGTCCATCTAGGTTCAGTTCCAAGTGGGGAGAAAGACACTGGAAACATGGAGGCTGCTTGGAAAGCTAGTTTAATGAAGCAGAACCATTAAGCACATGGTCTTGGTGCAGCTGAACACATGGAGTGGAGAGTGAGTGTTATTTATACTCTCTCTTGGGCCTTGTCCTAGAGCTTCCTGTTCCTGTGTAAGAAATGTATCCTATTTGTTGCTGTAGGGGTCATGTGCAAATCCTAGGACCGTGATGGCGAACCTATGGCACATGTGCCACAGGTGGCACGCGGAGCCATATCTGTGGGCATGCAAGCATTGCCTAGCTCAGCTCCAGCACGCATGTGCATGCTGGCCAGCTGATTTTCGGGCCCTCCAGGCCCACTGGAAGTCAGGAAATGGGCTGTTTCCAGCCTCCGGAGGGCCTCCGGGGGGAGTGGGGAAGGCCGTTTTCACTCTCCCCAGGTTCCAAGAAAGCCTCTGGAGCCTGGGGAGGGTGAAAAATGGGCCTCCTTGGCCCACTAGTAACATTTTTGCCATCACGTGCCAAAAGCGGGGAGAGCACGGGGGGCCGCGTGCGCATGCGCAGGGGATGGGAAGGCATTGAATTGTGGGTGTGGGCACATGGGCACGCAACAACCCTGTGCTCCCCCCACTTTTGGCACGCAACGGCAAAAAGGTTAGCCATCACTGTCCTAGGAGATTGTCTGAGATAAGCCTGGTTGAACTGTGCTGGGTGATGTAATATCCCCAGATGCCATGTGGTGAGCTCTGCTGCTAGATGGGTAGAGGGCTAATCCTATTATGTCCTGGAGGGTCATGTCTTAATCCCATCACCCTGGAGCTGGAAGCCTTTTGTTATGTAGATAGGATAGCCCAGTCTTTCTGGGGCTATTAACAAAAGTGGGGGCTGCTTTCCAAGAGCTTGTTTCTCCTTTTCTCATCCAGGGAGGTATAATATTCTGCCTTTTCAATATTTCCTAGAATATTTCGTTCTTCTGGGAGATGGGTGGGTGCTAACTTTCTATAGCATCGGATAGTGAAGTTGGACTTAGTGAAAGTAAGCAAACATCTTAAAAGTTAAAATTGGCACTATTTTGCTTGGAATGAGGCAATAGTTCCATTTGCAGTTTCATGTTTATATATAATAGGTAGCAGCACAGTGTCTTCTTCCACTGGACTTGTTTCTAGTATCTGGGTAAAATATTTATTGCAGATAATGCTGCTTATCTATCACAATGCTGTAGAAATGATCAAAATGAGCATAGTACATTTGCAAACCTGCTACTTTCAGGGAACCTTTTTCTCAAAAGCTGGAACAGTTCCAATTATTTATTTAAATATTTATATCCTGCCTCCCCCTCCACAGACTTATTTGAAAAAAGATATAATCCAGACCTAGAAGTATACCTGCTCTGTTTCAATTGGAAGGAAGATGTATCTTGGCAGGAATGGGAAATGTGCGGCCTTTGCTGAGCTTCATCTCACAGCATTTCTTGACAGTGGGCTTACTAGTTAGAGCAGCTGCAAGCTGTCCTTTAAGAGTGCCATAAAGTCTCCACTGTTGACACAGAGAACAATGCAATAAATCAGAAGATGGCAAAAAGATGCTCCCCTCATGGAGAGCCTAAAGGGAATAATCTGGCGCTGGAGGTTATGTCCTAATGCTACACTACCCTCTGGTTTGATTTGAAAATATATGCAGTGCAGCTAAGAACTGTACTGTATTTTTTAAAAAGGCAAAATCTTTAAATGAAGCTCAGATCCCAGTGACTTCACAGATATGTCCTTAAAGGGATTTTGGAAATTGTACTAAAGCTCTTTACAAGATTGTTTCAGTACAACTAGCCTACAGTGACAGTCCTGGGATTTTCTGGTGGTCTTCTCTCCTAGTGCTCTCAAGATCCGTTGTCAGTTATTTGCTGCTACCAAGCAAAGCGATTGGGCATGGACACACTTATCTACAATACACAATATTGACTGCAAAATATGGGTTACTCTATATATCCTTTTAAATATGTAGTCTTAGCAGCTAAAAATGTATCAGCATATTTTTACAGCGACTGTGTTGGCACATTTACTTCTCAACTCTTCCCCGTTTTATTTTTTATTTGATGTTTTCTCGGATATAGTTTTTTGGGAAACAGCTTTGAAGTCGAACTATATACACGTAGCTGAGATAATAAAGGCGAAGGGTGTTTACCGCGTCCCCCTTTATTAATTCTACCCGCCCCATTTCCTCTTTCAAATTCAAATTCAAGTCTTGCAATCCCTCGGCCGTCTCGGCTAAATAATTAATTGCCACAATTTGCTACTGGTTAATTGCTAGTAATTAATCGTACAGCGCTGTCTCTATTATTCAACTCCCAATTCTTTTCTAAGAGTTGCAACGCAACCCGAACGAGCACAAAACCATTCTGCTTTCCACGGCCGAGACAGACGTTGTACGCTTTGCTGGCCGTCCGTCAACATCTCTTCTCCTTGTCTTCCCCTCCCAGGGTTAGAGAATGGTACGGTCCAAAGCCCTGTTGCCGCTCTAGAACGTCACAGTTGATGAACAGCATAGCAACCGAAGCTTTTGAGGCGGGCGGGCGCGAAGTGGTTTGTCAGCTACAGATCGCACCTGGCCGGTTCACCGGCTCAAAATTCTTCCTCTGTGGAAGGACCTCCGCTCCCGGTAGGTTCGCCGGTCCCTCCAAGCGAAGGACAAAATAAAACTGGGAGGGACCGTGGAGGGGGGCAGGTAATTGAGAGTTTCTGGGTTCCGCTGCAAATGCAAACTCTTCTCCTTCGGAGCAGCGCCTGCCCCCTTTGATCTAGTAGTGGCTTCTTTCTGTTTTGCCTTAAGACTAAAAGTTACCACTTGCACATTTTACTCCAGGTTCTTTCTCCACCTCACCAAAACAGACTATATATTTTGTGTATTTGTGTGTGTTTACACACACACATACACACAAATATATAGCAGGGGGCTTTAATTGGAAATGCTAGGCATTACACTGAAGATTTCTTTTTTTTTTAGCAAGCATTCTGCTTGCTGCTAAATTATCAGCACTCCACTCAGCTGAATCTTATGTTTAAGCATGTGAAGAAGCAAGCTTGCTTTTTTTCTAGGTACCAAGATTGTTAATTATAGTATATATTTTATACTATTTATAAAATTACACATTTTTAAGAAAGGTGTATAATATATTTTTATATTATTTGTAAAATTATATATTTTTTAAAAAGATACACAGGTAGTCCTCGACTTACAACCATTCAGTTAGTGACCGTTTGAAGTTACAAGGGCACTGAAAAAAGAGATTTATGACCATTTTTCACACCATTGTGTTCACAAAAACACAATGGTTTACAACCATTGCAGGATCTCTATGGTCATGTGATCAAAATCCAGGCGCTTGGCAACTGGCTCACATTTATGACGGTTGCAGTGTCCCGGGGTCATGTGATCACCTTTGTGACCTTCTGATAAGCAAAGGTCGCAAACCATGTTAGTAACTTAACAAATGTAGTCATTCATTTTACAACTGGGGCAACAAAGGCGTAAAATGGACCTAAACTCACTTAACAACTGTCTTGCGTAACAACAGAAATTTTGGACTCCATTGTGGTCATAATTCGAGGACTATCTGTAATGCAGTTTGGCCATCTCAACTGTGCCATAATAGAAAAGGAAAGCTCCAGAAACTAACTGGCAGGTGTTCAACTCTGTCTCCATTTCTTGGCCAAGGGAGCCAGTGTTGTCACATAACATTTTCAATGGTTATGTGGCCAGCATGAATATATGCCAAAGGCGTATGGAACACTGTTACCTTCCCACCAAAATGGTACCTATTAATCTACTTGCATTTGCATGCTTTCGAACTAGTAGGTGGGCAGGAGCTGGGGCAAGTAACAGGAGCTCACCCCGTTGTGTGGAGTTCGGCTCTTGAACTTGGACTGTTAGCATCTTTAACTGCTGAGGCATCTATGGCCCATTGCAATCACTATATCTAATGAAGACAACTAAATGGAAAGAAGGAGTAACCTTCTTATGTCACTTTGCTGCCCAGTCGTGTTGAGATTTTAAACCCTTCAGAAGGGTGATGCTACCTGCTGAGGCAAGTCAGTATTATATTTTCTTGGAAGAGAGATATAGAAGGTACGGCACAGCAATAAATTAAAAACTGCACCTTCACTCTTTTTCTTCTCAATACAGGATCTCTTGCTCATGCCTTTTGCCAGCTAACTCAACAACCTAAAGCCATAATACTGTAGAACAAGGCTAGGGAAATAGATTCACGCATCATGTCAACCAGGATGCATAAAAATCAATGATTTTTTTTTAAAAAAATCAAAAAAATCAGACTTTTTTGATTTAAATTGGATTTTTTTGATTTAAATCGGATTTTTTTATTTTTATCGAATTTATTTTAATAAAAAACTTTTGGGGTAAAAATCTATTGTAAGATAGTTTTCTATTTAAGATACATAAATGATTTAGTTTATTGAAATGGAGCTTAGTTATGTAGCATGAGGCTGTATATTCTGCAATACTGAGACTATCGGTGAGTCAACAGTGGGTCAAAGGAGTAGCAGAGATGACAGTTGCTCTTTAAAAATTATGATTTAAATCGAGTTGATTTAAATCAAGCCTTTTTACTAGTGATTTAAATCATGATTTAAATTGTGATTTAAATCAACTCGATTTAAATCAAATCCACCCTGATGTCAACCATACTCTAATGTAATTTGTTTGAAGTTTGAATGTGTGTTTTCAGCCATTGTCACTTGTAAATCAGGTTTTATGATTTGGCATGATGCATAAGCTCAGGCAATTACAATTTACTAGTAAAGTATTGTTAACCAAATTATGAGTTGGCAGAGTGTATGACCTAGCAGTGGGTGAGGGATGACATAGAAACATAGAAAACTGACAGCAGAAAAAGACCCAGTGGTCCATCGAGTCTGCCTTTTGAGTGTTTTATTTGTTTTTGTTTTCTTTTTAATTTATTTATTATTTTTAATTTTAATTATTTTCTTATTATGGGTCATCGCACAGTAAGCCAGATGTTCAGACTGGTTTGGCATTTTTATCAAGTTCTTTCTAAGGACTTGGAATAGGCACATGTGGATGTTTAATGGTATTACAAACATTGTCACAGGTTGTAAGCTGTTCTAAGAACAGCTGTTCTTAGCTGTTGTAAGCTGTCTTTTGCAATTGACTGATAGTGAATTTATCAGTGCTGGTGGTGCTCAAGTGGTGCTCCATTTGTTTTGGGATTTCACCCAAACCTCCTATTTACTGTTCTTTTCTTTTTCCACAGTCATTGTATTTCTATTTGCAGGTCTTTATATTTCTATTTTGCTGTCTCCAGGTACTGCCACATCCACTAGCTAGACCAGTGTCAGCGCATCTTTTCGGCACCAAGTGCCAAAAACTCACACGTGCACATGCCAAAAACTGGAAGAGCATGTGCATGTGTATGCACGCGCCGGAAACCGGAAGATTAGCCGCCCGGTGCCTGCATGCACACCAGGCAGCTGCTCTTCCGGTTTCCAGTGCTCCCAGGCTCGTGAAGACCAGCTGGCCGGTGCGCCAGAACCCAGAAGAGCAATGAGCGATGGCTCACATGCCCAGAGAGATGGCTCTGTGTGCCACTTCCAGCACGTGTGCCATAGGTTCACTATCGTGGATCTAGACTTTTTTGTCTTTTTTATTGAAATTTGTTAAGTCTAGGGTGTTATGTGGCAGGTGCCTGTCTGCTTACTATTATTTTATTTATTTATTTTTGTTGGATGATGGGCCTGTGTTTATCCCAAGCTGGTTTAAACTCAGTTACTGATGACTGATCCACTACCTCTGTTGGAAGTTGATTCCAAGCTTCTACTACTCTTTCTTTGAAGTAATACTTTCTAACAGTACTTTTGAACTTTCCCTCCTGTAAATTTGAGATTATGTCCCTGTGTTCTTGATTTTTGCTTAATAGTGAAAATACTGCCTTCTAGAACCTTATTCACACTCTTAATATATTTAAGGGTTTCAGTCATGTCCACCGCTTTCCCTCCTATCCTGCCGGCTGTACATATTCAGTTCCTCCAATCTCGTCTTAAGTCATTTGGTTAGGTGTAAGAAGTTTTGGCATTGGGATGCTGTTTAATGGTCAGCTTCACATTATAATATTTATTTATTTATTTATTTATTTATCTATCTATCTATCTATCTATCTATCTATCTATCTATCTATCTTCCTGAAAAAGTATTTGTTTCCCTTTGACATTGTGAGGGAATTGGCAGTGACAGCTGTCAAAAAGTCATATTTTGGAAACTGGCGTTTTATAGTTTAATTTTCTGTGCTGAGCCTCAAGCTAGATTTACATTTAAATAATTCATCTTATTCCAATTGGACATATAATTTCTTTTAGGTCCTACTGTGTTTTATAATTATCTTCATTATGTAAACAACTCATTCTAAAGTTATTTTAAACTTTAAATGCTACTGTTATGCCCCGTATTAAATGAATGAAGAAAAAACTGGAAAAGTTAAGATACTTCTAGATATTGCCTGAGGAAAATAATCATCAAATAGACAGATACAGGGGTGAGGGTGGAGGAATCATTTCAAGCTGTGGGCAGCAATCATTTGTTTAATTTCATTGGAAAATCTTACTAATTTGTATACCACATAGCAGTTGAAATAAATATATTGGTGCATGTAGAATTTTTATATGTAGTGGCCTGGTGGCCTGGTTGTGAGGATGCTCACCTCCCACTTGGAAGGTTGAGAGTTCAATCCGGTAGCGGCAGATGTTTCTTTCCTAGGCATAAAGAAAAAATATCTGCTGCAAACTCTACATGGTGTCAGGAGGGGCATCTGGCCAATAAATGCTCAGTTCCATCCGGTTGCCCTGACTCTACTCCGAATTAAGGGATAACAGCAAGCCTGTCAAACTGGCAGCCCGCAGGCCAGATATGGTCCAAACGGTCCACACCCACCCTGGCTCTGCAAAGGCAAAAAACATCCCAATGTGATTGGGTTTGACACCCCTGGATTACAGGGAGGGTTTTTTTATGTTACATGTTTTGTTTCAGGTAACAAGGTACTATCTTTTTGCTATTCTAGAAACCATAAACTCCAACCAGAGGATGGAAGTTGTGAGTAATATTCAGACTGACTTCCACAGCACCAAAGGGTCTTTCAGAAGCCCTCCATCCCTTCTTCTGGACAGCTTTGTGGAGGAGTCCCAGCATACAACTGATGTTCCCCATCACCTCCTGGAATCAAGTGAGTGATTAGTTGACTATTCTCAGGCAGAAAAGAATTGTTGGTTACCTTAATAATCTTGACGAACTTGATTGTTTATCACCTTGGCTTACAGGCAGAGTCTTGTTGCACCTAAATTCATTTCAAAATATAATAATTCAGTAGATTATCACCAGTTGTTGCTGTCTCTGTTAATACCATGCACGCCATTCCTCCCTTGCAATCCACTCCTGAGGTTGGAAGATCCTTCCCAGTGGTTGAGGAAGGGGGAAATTGCCAGTGGAGAACAGAGAATTTCACTGAACTAACAGTCCTCTTTTATATTCTTTCAAGACATATATCATCATGTAAGATAATCTGAATTCGAATATTTTGTTTAGCCAAGTGTGATTAGACACACAAGGAATATTTATCCGGTGCAGAAACTTTCACTGTACATGCAAAGCAACAGAATAATAATAACCACAATCATAATACCAATATGAGGAGATAGTAAACAAGATCATAAGATGGATAAATAATAACACTTCATCCATACATGGGTAAATATACATATATACATGACAGAAACATAGATGGAAACATAGACAGAAACATAGTTTCTGACATTCTAGACATTCATATTGAATGAACAGAGAATATTAATTATTTGTTAAATTTATTGGCTGCCTATCTCACTGTGGGGCTAAACTAGCTTACAATAATAAGAAAATGAAAGGAGCATAAACAGAAGAGAAATAAAATAATGAAACAATAAAACAAATAATGAAAAAGCAACACAACAAGAGTACAACAATATGATAACCAAAAAGATGGACAGGTGGAAAACAGAGAGCGGGGGTGGGGGAGGCAGGGGGGATGACTCTGCCATCAGTCCAGCAGCCACCTCCAGTTTAGAACTCCCCCATTTGATCCCCAGGTTCTTGCGGAAGGATAAGAGGGTGGGAGCAGATTTTAGATCTTAAGATACTCCAAAGCGCAAGCACCGCAGCAGAGAAGGCTCCTGGATCCCAATAGTTGGAGTGGGATCTGAAATAGTCCCTCTCTGTCTATATAACATAACTGAATAATACAATATAATTGATCTGCAGTTGAATCCCATACATAATGCTACCTTAGGATGAAGCCTAATATTGGCCAGAAAAAAAAAGACTGTCAGATTGAGGAATGGGGTAGTTTGTGGTTTGGTAGGCTAAATAGATTGTTTTCGTGCAGGGAAGATCTTGAGATAGATTATATCAGTCTATCTAATATTAGGAAAAAAATAGAATAAAATTAGTCATAGTGAATTCTTGGAGCTATTGTCTGGCTGTGCCAATTATTGTTTTGTTTCCTTTTTTTATTATTTCAGAGATTTATACAAAGCTATTAAGAAATAATGCTATACAAGCTAAACCTGCTATCATGCATTATGGAGGATTTGAGGTAGAAAAACATCATCAGCAAGTGCTGGTAAGTAAGGAAAGAGTTGAGAGCTGATACCCTGAAATGAGTTCATGCATTTATTAACTTATTTATTATTTACCCACATACATATTTAGGGTGGGTGGCTTAGGGGTTTTAATGTCTTGTTTTTTAATATTGTAATCCATCCTTGGTCACGTATTTGTGAGTTGGGTGGCCGTATAAATTTGCTTAATTTATAAATAAATATAGTCCTTATGACTCAAAACCACTTACAATGTATAAAGATAATGACATATATAAAACATAATTTTAAAAGCAATAAATTAATTACTGTTCATAAAAGCTATTGTTATCCTTGGGGGCATGTGATTTTAGAGGGAGGGAGCTGCTCCTGAGAATGCGATTCTCCAAATCCCAGCATCCCACTTGTATTGTATTCTCTTTCTGCTAAGACAGCGTAGGGCAGACAGATTCTACAAGAAGAAGAAAGTCCCAAAGATAATGAGGTCCTAAGGTGTATAAGATGCTATACTCAGGGCTTTGAATTGGCTTCAGAAGCCATAGTCAACCAATGCAGCTCCTGCAGATGGGCATTACCCACCTGAATTGACTAGTGCCAGTTAACAAGCTGTATTCTGTTCCATTCATGTCCTCCACATTAACTTAAATGTTAACCATTTTATCTACATCACTTTCTGTCTGTAAATGTGCCAAAAATACTGACAGGAATATCTTTTTTCTTTCTTTGAATTATTTGCTTTATCCTACAGAAACTGATAAATATTTCCGGAGAAGTTATAAACATCCATATTATTCCGCCAGAGACAAACTATTTCCAGATCAAATATAACAAAATTGTAAGTGTCTGTTCAGTAACCTTGAGAGTGCTCACGTTTATTTCGTTTCTTCCTTTTTGAACTTCGCCAAATTGCAAAACAAATAATTTGAAGCCTTCCATAGGAAATTGTTCTGCTCTGTTTTTATAGCAGCGGCTTGTCCCTGGCTTGTCCTTTACAGTAACAGTTGATTTTTGCCCTGATGAATGGCGATACTATTACGACTGCATCCGAATCCATTCTCAGGTAAGAAAAGACAATAGATCTAGGTAGGAACTCTCCTCTCCCTATATATGCAAATCAAGATAGTGCTGACTGTTCTTGACATCAGCACATACAATGAATATTTTTACTATGCTTAGATTGAAGATTCTTTAGACTCTTTAATGATCAGCTTCTTTTACTAGGTTCTTTGACTCATTCCTTTTCTTCAAGTTATTTTGTTCCAAGGCCAATCAAAAGAGAATGCACCCAGCACCTGGGGGGGTGGGGGTGGGCCAGTGGTGGGTTTCAAAATTTTTTACTACCGGTTCTGTGGGTGTGGCTTGGTGAGTGTGGCATGGCTTGGTGGGCGTGGCAGGGGAAGGATACTATAAAATCTCCATTCCCATCCCACTCCAGGGGAAAGTTACTGCAAAATCTCCATTTCCTTCCAATCAGCTGGGACTCAGGAGGCAGAGAATAGATGGGGGTGGGGCCAGTCAGAATTTTTACTACCGATTCTCCAAACTACTAAAAATTTCCGCTACCGGTTCTCCAGAACTGGTCAGAACCTGCTGAAACCCACCTCTGAAATGGACGCTCAAAAGGAATATATACTTCGGCTTAAAATAAAGTAGGTGACGGGTTTCCAGCATTTTTTTTTATTGCTTTCCTAGGAACTGGGATGCCTATTTAAAAACATTCATGAACATTTTGTAAGATGGAACATGTAAACTAGGTTATTAGCTTTAATACTAATTGTGCTACATGCAGCTTTCATACTAATTGTGATGAACGTAAGTAAATTGGCCAAAATGTGCCAAAAGCGATTGGTAATTATATTAACAGTATTGATCACTTTGGCACATTTTCGCCAATTTATCACAACTTCAACCAAAGCTCAGTTTTATTCCGAATTTCTTCTAGTTACGATTTCTGATTTAGAGATTTTCTTGCAAACCAAGATACTGGTTGCATCCCACCAACTATGCAATACATTTATACATAGTGAATTTTAACTAGGTTTCACAAGGTTTCTTTTTTCTGTTTAGAACTCATGTTTCCAAGTACTTTGGCATCCTGTTTCTTACACCTTTTCTGAATTCAGCATAATATTTATTCTTTTTTAATACAATAATTTTTTATCCAGAAATTTAAAATACAAGCTCCAAAAAAGAATTTTTTTTTCCAAAATAAAACAGTTAGACAAAATGTTTTTTTAAAATGTGCATTAGGAAAGACACACAAATACAGACAGATAGACAGACAGATAAACAGAGAGACAGACTGACTAGAGATAGATATAGTCTCCCTACTTGAATACTGATAAATATATTGCAGCAATAATAGTTTCTGCCCCTTGCAAAGCAGGCCTACAATTTATAAATTTCTGCAATCTATTTACTTCTAATTTAACCTGTCATCTATCTACTACCATATAGGTAAGGAAAGGTAGTTAACAGGAAAATTAAACAGCAAGATTAAACATCAAAGCCCTCTGTTAACAATCTAATGTTGTATTTAACTCGTAGAAAGTCTAAATGTTTCTCACCCTAAAAGAAATAGCATGGTGTACATGCATGTGTGCATGCATGCAAGTGGAAAAATTCAGATCATGTTAATTTTGGGTGTCAAAACTTCAAGAACAGGCATGGTAATAGGTTTAGTCCTCCCAGGTCTTAAATCTAGGAAGATAATATAAAATTAGGCTTTCATATGCTGTATGTTTTATATTAACTGGGAATTAAAATATCCCCATAATTATTTAAGTCATTATGAGCAGTGTAATCTTAATGGTGTAAGAGAGCAGAACTAGTTTCCCCCTAGATCACAATTCTCCTGAGACTGTCTGTATCCTTCTCTTCTTTTCTTCTCAGGGAGATGAAACTTTGCTGATCCCTCTCCATGCCTATCCTGTGATGAATAATGTAGATTTTCCAGCCTACATTAATTTGTCGGATGTTCCTTTGGGACAATGGCAAGTGGCTATTAAAGCAATAACTTTTCTTTCATCTCTTCTTCATGCATGATAAAAAGAATTGGCATAATTAGACTTTGGCCGGTGGGCAGCGAAAGAACAGAATGCCTCATCTACAGCAATGATTCAGTCGGGAAATGCAATTGAAGTTGTTTTTATTCTCAGCATATTTATATATTTTTCATTTGGTGACGAGGCACTGTGAAATGTAATTCTGGAATTACTTTGTAAAATTATTGATAGCTATCACACCCTAGTTGTGTTTGTTCACTGATGACTCTGAGAACTTTTGCAAGGAGAGAAAATGAAAGTGGGAGACTAAAATTCTAGATAATATTTTTGTTTTCTGGAGCCTTACATCTTTTAAGAAAATGTGATTGGTGGGGAAGTATTCCTCTCTTTTTTTTTTATTTTCCCCTGATCTTACTGTTTTGAAAAAAAAAAAACAGGATTTGTTTCATCTTTTTCTCTGGGTTTGTTTGTTTGTTTGTTTGTTTTATTAAATTTATATACCGCCCTACTCCCGAAGGACTCAGGGCGGTGAACAGGCACAAAATAAAATACATAAATACAAAAGTTAGAAACATAATTAAAACCAAATTAAATAATTTAGCCCGAGACAATTAAAAATCCCAATAATTTAAAACAAATTAAAATTTCAATTTAAAAATTTAAAAGAAAGGGGAGAAAATTAGGCCAGGCCGGCTTGCTGGAATAGGAGGGTCTTAAGAGCACGGCAGAAAGTGTGCAGAAAGTGGGTAAAGCATTCTCATCTGAACATCTTTATATTGGTAGGGATAAATGATTATATATGGAGAAAGAATATGCCTATGGATAACTGCTATGAAATAATAGTGTGTTCGTAGTATAAACTGAGTAGAATTACTGCTCTCTGAATTTACTGTAGTTGCTTTCTTGCAGATGTTTCATTACTCAAACTAGGTAACATAATGATGATTTTACCTAGTTTGGGTAATGAAACATCTGCAAGGAAACAACCAAGTTCAGAGAGCACCAATGACCCCTCATTTCATTCCTGAACTGCAAATGTTCTCTTTTATGAGTAGTATAACTTGGTAGTAGTAGTAGTAGTAAGTTTTATACTCAAATATACTGTACCATCCCTGCCTGTTGAAGGGAGCCAGTTTACCTGCAGTTCATGATGCCAACTTCAATTGTATATTCAGGCATTGAACTTCTTTTCTGTTGTAGAATCAGATGTATACATAATTGGAAAAAATTATATAAAGAGGTTTTTGTGTTCCCTGTGCTGTAAATTTCACATATCTCTTTTTGGAGCAAGGTCTGAAATTTATGGCAGCCCCGCCTATCTCTAGCTTTCAGGATACTCCTGCATTATTTCTTGAGAATGTTCAAATTCTCCATCTAATATACTTGTTAAATGGACAGAGAATTATTTCTGAGTGCATCTGAGTAGGATTAAGGGGTTAGATTTTTTTTGGTTGTTTTTTTACTTTTAAATCTTACATTTTATTTTATTTTTTCCATTAGAAATTCTGTCTGTTTTTCCCTTTTCTTTCCTCCTGCTTTGATCCTTGGCCAATACCCTCTATACATCCATGGCTTCAATTATTTGCAAAGGAAAGAAATGCTTCCCAGGTTGAACTTCTTAAACGCCCATCAAAAAAAAAAAGATACTATTGTTGGTATTCACACAAACAAGAAAGACAGAAAGAATTGTTTTTAGGAAGTACTGTATGTAAACTGCATTCCATTGTAATCGGCTAGACAGGATTCAAGTGAGACAGTTTATTTATATTGGAGTTCATGGAATGAAATAGACTTAAATGGAGAATATTCAGAATTTTTTTCCCTAAATAATAGTGAAGCAGGAATTGCTATCTGCACAGAAAAGTAAACTTGGGAAAAAATTATGAGATACTCAAGAACCTACAAATTGAAGCTACATGCTAGTTATAATAGCATTGGATTTTATGGAGGAAGTCCATTCCCTGAAGCTCCATTGCCTAATGCCCGCCTAGAGGGTCATGGCAGAATTGCATTCAGTGCTTCACCCTTGCATTCCATACTAAGTAAAGCTTAGTTATTGATTTAAGCTGCTGTCCTAAACAAGAAATGAACTCATGCACATAAACATATCAATTATTAAACAAGGCTTTATAAATATGGTACCGTATATGCAGTATATATTACAAGTAAGAGTCAAGCTATAGATTTAGTTGTCCTCAATTCTACCCTTTTTGGTAAAGAAATCTAATTTCCAAATGTCCCTTGTTCATTTTTATTATTCATGTCATTCCACTTGAAAAATCCCATTAACAGAAGTGAAAAATTGTAGTCTTATATCCGCAGCCATTAGTGATTTTTTTTCCAGACTACTTTCCAGAATTAAATTTACCGAATTAAAAACGTGCAGTTTCATAGACTTTGCTGTGTTTTAAAAACAGAACAAAGTCTGTGAGGTTGCATGTTTTTGAATCGCAACAAGTAATGAATATTGCAGACCTATTAAAGAAGTAAGCCTCACTGAATTCAACAGGATTTCAGGGAGGTGGATGGAATAGAAATATGAAATAAATAAATTACAGCCGTGAAGGTTTAATTGTTAATTTTTAAAAAGGAAGAATATTTAAATTAAAATCAAGTGACGTCTGTTTTTTTACTCATGAAAACAGGAAGCTGCTTTTTCTTTTATATGAATTTATAATGCAAAAGCTCAAACCTCACTAAAATAAATTACATACATACAGAGGTAAATGCATATGTGTTTTCAATTATTAATACGAGACTGCCAACTTTCATAAAATATGAAATCATAATTTATCTAATATAGTTGCTTGATTAGGGCTGCATATTCATGTAGCTCATTCTCCAGTAACTAAATAAAATTTGGGTGCAAATCATTTAAATTGGAACAGGCTTTAATTTAACATATGGCAGGCATTATTTTGAAAATTGCTCTCCTGTTTACAGGTTCCGTATTTTATGCCATCATATCAGCATATTTTCTGCCATGCTACTGCTGGAATGATAATATTAAAAATTTGAATATAATTATTTGCTATTTGGTCCTGTTCTCCTTTTTCAGTAAGTCCTATGTGATCCCACTGCAGTGTAGCTGCCCCATAGATTTTGAGTTTCAGATTGAGTACCTTCAATCCCACAAAGCCTTTACTGTACAACCCATGTCAGGTAAGTTCTGAAAGGGAAGCCGTGATTCATGAATGTTTGGAATTTTACATAGTAATATGAATGAATGAATGAATGAATGAATGAATGAATGAATGAATGAATGAATTTTAAATGGCTATCTCCCAGTATGATTTCATGTGTCACCTTAAGTCCTCCCAAGTTCTGTTTGATTTTCACTGAGCATGTTATGTGAACCTATCCATAGGTTCTAATTTATACACCAAAGCAAATCAACTTACCATGTATATACTTCCTTCCTACTCTGCCTTGATAATGGGGACATTTGCTCAAGCATAGATTTTCGAAATTCAGATGGTCTTCCCAAAACTTAGCCTGCCTTGGATGCCAGTCTCCGTAGGATAGGAATGGTTCACAGACCCTCTTTTTGTAAAGCTAACCAAAACTGACCTTTCGTAATCAAAACATTTTATGTTGATTTTAAATCCTCTGCATCAATGTGTCCAGACATTGGAATGAACAATAAGAAAAATAATGGGAAGGATTTGAAAAAGCATGAATTAGGAAAGCCATATCATGAACTTCTTAGAAAGCAGTCCTAACTGAAATTCAAGGGGAAGCAATGTACTCAAAATTTTCAAAACCCACCAATTCACACAGGCAGAAGTACTTTTCTTGGGCTTTTCAGTGCAGTGGATCTAATTTTGGGGAAATTGACCCTACCCGCCAATTGAAAATAGCATAATGATCTGAAGGAGATGGGCAGTTCAGAAATATGAAAACTAATTAAATTAAATGTATTATATTAGCTCTAAATTGATTATTTGGGAAACTTGATCCAAGTCTTTCCAGGGAAACAAGAGGCTTTTGAATTCAAAATAATTTAGTTCCAAGCTACTTTTATTCCAGAATCATCTTTCGGTACATTGGGCCACAAGGACAGCCAATGTATGATATGTACAAAGGTTCAGAGAGGAGACATGTTAATTCTTTAGAAAGCAATCCAAGTAGTTGAAAGTTGCTTTGCGTAGCAATATTTTCCAATTAGCTGATCAAAATATTTTCTCTCTTGCAGCACCCGGAACAATACACACACACAGAGAGAGAGAGAGAGAGAGAGAGAGAGAGAGAGAGAGAGAGAGAGATATATTTAGACAGGAAAAGAATAGCAGATTTTTAGAATAAGTACATTAACTCCAACATAACATTTTGTTTGTTCATTACAGGAATAATTCCAGCCAGTGGGAAAACAGAAGTGATGGTTACATTTGCACCTTTTGAATATGGGACAGCCCAAATAAAAATCCAGTTGTGGATTTCGCAGTTTAACTCAAAACCTTACAGTTGTACATTCACGGGAACATCTATTCCACACCTAAACTTTATGTAAGTGAAGCTCATAATGTTTTGAATATTAATTAACAGAGATCTTTATTAGATAATATTTGCAACTGAGGGTTACATATTCAAAAAAACTATATCAACTGAGTAGGTCTAACTCCCAAAAACATCATGTTGAAAATGTTAATTACATTTATCTCCCATTGAAATTGATGTGCTATAAAATATCAGTCCTGGTTAAACTTTTTTTTTTTTTGCATTGCAATCCGTAGATGCTTGCCTCAGTGATAGTTTGACTACTAGACCATGTTTATCAAGAATCCTAGTTAGTGGATTCTGGACCAGTGAAAAAATAACATTGTTCAACCATGCTTCCTGTCACTTAGGCTAGTAGAGGAAAGTAGCAAAACTGAACTGTTTCACAAAATAATTGTCCACCGAGAACAATGGCTGGAGGGGAAATTTAGGTGAAAAGTTTTCATTTGAGTTGTAAGGTGTGGGACAGCATGTCAGCAACAGAATCACTTAATATACAGGTAGTTCTTGTTTAGTGACCATTTGGAGCTACAATGGCACTGAAAAAACTGACTTATGACAATTTTTCACACTTATGACCGTTGTACCAGCCCCATGGTCACGTGATTTACATTCAGATGCTTGACACCTGTTTCATATTTATGACAGTTGCAATGTCCCTGGGTCATGTGATCACCTTTTGGGTCCTTCTGACAAGCAAAGTCAGTGGGGAAACCAGATTCACTCAACAATCATATTAAATCATGTTTAACTAACTGAAGTGATTCACATAAGAAATGTGGCGAGAAAAGTCGTAAAATGGGACAAAACTCACTTAACAAATTTCTCACTTAGCAACATAAATTCTGGCCTCAGTTGTGATCCTAAGTCGAGGACTACCTGTAAAAAGAAACAAATGGAAGTAGGTCATTATAAAATGGTTCACTAGTCATAGGCCCCTTCCACCTGCAAGGGACTCACTAATATTGGCATTTCACGTCCCTGCTAGGTTATGGATTCCAGTTGTCTTCAGAAATTAAACTGATTAACTCAAGATAATTAACACAAGTTAATCAACTCAGCTCCAACACCAGAGGAAACACTGTGATGATAGTACCTCCTCTAAACTTGTGAAATAGCTTACACATTGTTGAGAATGTCAGCTTCATCTGTCTCCTGGATTCCCTCTCCTCCTCCTCCTCCTCCTCCTCCTCGAAGCCATGGAGCTATGACTTCTTCTCAATCCCAGCTGCACAGAGAAGTAGCTTTACTGTTCCCTAAAGAGAGGTCAGCTTGCTTCCCTCCCACTCCTTCCCTCATTGTTTAGCTAATGCAGCATGACATGTGATGGAGACAAGCAGTAGAAAACCAGCTGTTTCCTCTTTTTGATACTCTCTTTATAAACTGGCTGCAGGAAGCATTGACAAGTGCCAAGAGGGTACACATTATCATTAGAGTGATGAGGGCAAAGATGATGTCTGTGAGGAAAGAAGTCATAGTATTTCAATCAGGACAACATCATTCCAGAAACGTTCAATCATATCTAAGCCTTCAGAGCTCCAGGGAGAAAGCTGCCCTTGACATTTAAAGAATGGACTGTTTTGGAGTAATAAACCAAACAAACCAGTTTGAAATAAATAATATGCAAAGATTTTAATTGCAATTGAGTCTGGAGAAGTGATATTGCGTTCCACGCCATAGAAGCAGTTTGCCAATTTTGGCCTCAGATTTCAAGAATCCCCATAAAGGGGATTTTCAAAGGGAGAAGCGTTTCCTACAAGATTTTTTTTCCTCCAGTCCAAATGAAAATCTGAATTGGAGAACAGTTTTGGCCTCCCCCTTGGTTACCACCACCACATTCCATTATTTCCCAAGTCTACTGGTGCTACACTCTAGCACAGGGGTGGGGAACTACGGCCCTTTTATGACTTGTGAACTTCAACTCTCAGAATTCCTGAGCCAACCATGCTGGCTTAGGAATTCTGGGAGTTGACATTCATAAGTCATAAAGGGACCATAGTTCCCCACCTCTGCTCTAGCACATCCCTTTCTTTTTCCTCAAAAATAGCAGGAACCGGTTTAATGTATATGGTGAAAAGGGAAATGTCTCGGTTTGTGCTGCATAATTTGAACTGAGTTCTGTGTGTGCTATGAATGTATGTAATTTTCCCAAGGGATCCTCTCTTTACTAGAGTTTTACCTTTTTAGAACAATATTTCATTACCCAGATAATAAAGCTAATGTGTTTCTCCCCCCCCTAAATTTCTATACTCCCCCCCCCCAAATTCCAGAAGAAGAGATTTGGAGAACCAAGAGTCAGTTTTGCAAAGAATACCAAAGTCTGCTGAAAAAGCAGTGTTATGCCTGCCACAGAAAACACGATCACCAAAAGACAAAAAGCCCAGGCCGCTACAAAAAGGACAGGTACAGAATGGACAAAGATAAATTGTTGCTATAAAGGAAGGAAATAACATTCAACAGTCATTTTGACATAGCCTATTTATTTTCGTAGACTATTGAATATAAAAACTTGAGGTTCCCTGTTGATTTGTCAAATCCTTACGCTGTGGGAACAGTTTTGATTCAGGAACCAGGCAAATTGAAGATTAAACATTTAAGGGAAGGTAATAACTTTTATTATTGTTTGGTCACACAATCATCCAAATATTTAGACTCGATTTGGCATTTTTATCCACCAATCAAGTCCTACTCAAAGGTAGTTAGGCAGATGTTGTTTGATGGTGTTAAAAGTCTCATCGCAGGATGGAAGCTGTTCTAGTTAAAATTGCTTTTTGCAATTAACTGACAGTGATTTTTGTCAATTCCAATGTATGTTCTTACTATACTTAATTATATATTTTATCCTGCCCTATTATATAGTTTAAATTTATTTTACCAAGGACTCCACAAATTTATCATATATATAATAAATTAGCATTTATTGTGTGTGTGCACATGTGTGTGTGTGTGTGTGTGTGTCAATCGTGTAGGAAGTAATATAAAATGTATTTAATGATAATATAATTACATAAATTATCTTAGGATGCTCCTGATATCAGTGCAGTGTTTTGAAATCTTGCAACTTCTCAATAATTCTGCTTCTTTCAGATATTTAAGAATGGGAAATATGCTTAATGCTACCCTTTTAATATCCTGATTAACAGTTTTTTATTTCTGTGTTATGCAGTCCTAGGAGGACAAGGTGATGGAGGAACTAAAACACGACAGATAAAAGAAGCCGTTTTTCAACTAAAAGTCAAACAGGATATACAAGAAGAGGAAATTAATCAACTTAAGTGGTGAGTGATGGCACACTTTATACCAAATGGGCAGGAAGTTAAAATAACTCTTCCAATCAAATCATTCTGCCAGTTAGCATATTAATAAAAGAGGTTTTGCAATAAAAGTTACATAATTATCATTTCTCAGTTTGTCAGTTTGATTACATGTTCTAAAATTGTGGTTAGTTGTTTCACTGTAGGTAAGCAGCAGATACCAATAAAAGTGGGAAGGAACATTTTTTAAACTGTTGGTGGCCTTGTAATAACTCTAGGTGTAATAACACATACATCCAAGGATAATAAAGAGGCTTGATAGAGGTTTTAGAATAATGTGAAAAAGCAGAAATAATAAGAGGGAATAATAAATAATCAAGTGTATTGCTTGATCATTTGATTGATTGATTGATTGCCTTAACATGAACAGAAGCATTTTTGTCAAGCCACCAATGGGTACAGTCAATTGACTAGATTAACATAATGCTCTAAGACTTTAAAAAATGTAAAAACAAATCCGGGCAAAGTATAAGATGTTAACCTAATTTATTACTTTCAAACCATGATTTGTGGTTTACTGCGCTCTGTGAATCCAGTCATTGTGATATGTTTAACAACCAGAGTTGAAACAAGCCATGATTTTACATATGTATGAATTAACCATTATGATCTTTGACCTGGCTTGTCCGTTATTAATTACAAGTCCCACAGTTCTAAATTTGTGAAAACCCTATGAAGCATAAGTCAGCCAAGCATTTTACAGTTGGGTGACTTCAGGAGAACAAATTTAAGTTAATTTCGTTAACTAAAATAAATGGATTTTTAAAATGTTCAACTCTAGAATATTGTTATCCATCCTGTTGCCTCACTGTCAGTCATGTGCATCAACATGATTGATTGATTAATTTGATGTGTGTAGTGAAGTGACAGCAGGTCAGTGGACAGATAATCTACAAAAGTCATTTTTATATTACCAGTAGGTTTATTTTTCTTCAGATGGAAGGATTGTTGGTCAAGAGGGCTTTGTCTGATCTTTTTTTTTTTTTTACTAAAACTCTTCTTCTTTTGAATTTCAAACATAGGCAAGTTCATTTAGGTAAAGATCCAATATGTCCAACTCTTCAAAAGCAAATCCTTGAAGATCGACTGAAAGAAGAAGAAATTTACAAGGTGAGTAGAGTATTATAATGTATAAAAATAACTCCTGGCTTTATATATCTATGGAGATTCTCAATAATTCAGGTCATGGTTGTCCCAAAGATGATTTTTTTTTTCCAAAAGGCAACTGGACTTTCTTGGTGTTTGCTTTGAAAACCTTTCGCTTCAGGAACTGAAAAACTTTCTTGGATGAGAAGCAAAACGTTTTCCAAGAAAACACCAAGAACGTCCAGTTGCCTTCGGAAAAGAAACAGCTTTGGGACTCTGGCTTCATATATTCTGGGAAATATCAGGAGAGTAGAATAATTTTTTTAGACTAAAGAAAATGGGATCTTATCTTGAAACACAGCAGACATCATCGTTGCTGCCATAATCTTTTGTATATCTTACTCTTATTTTTAAAAATGGTTTATTTTCCTAACTCCAGAGTTCACATGCAATGTCAAAAGAAAAGAAGAGAAATGGGGATAGTCTGCTGGACAATCCCTTTGGGAACATCTATCCATAGTCTCTTCTGGTTTGGCTCCAAAGATAGCACTACTGCTTTATTTCTTTTCGAGTCCTTCATTTTGTATATGTCAGATTGCACTTGGATGATATCCTGTCCCATAGAAAAACATGAGCTCTTCTGTGAAACCAGAGATCTGTCGCTTTCCAACCCTTTGTTTTTTATTTCTATTCTTTATTACAATTCTGTGGGTCCCATCATCTCCGACATCTTCTCTCAATTTATTTTTTCCGAAAGATAGCTCTCTACTCCAAGCCAGTTTTCCTTGAAAGAGTTATTTTTTAATGAACAGCAGGGATGTGGAACTGGATAGTTGGTGTTATAATTACAATCCCTTCCTAAGCACTTTGAAATGATTATTAGGGCTGTACAGCAATCCAGACTGAAAGTGGAAAATTGCTTGGCTTTGTTGGATTACGATGGCATAAGGCCAGGAAAAGGTGCTGCTTCACTAAGAGCCAACACCAACTTGATGGCACATGATCAGCCTTTAAGAAAGTATCAACGGATATTTATTTGAGCTTCCATGCAGATTCCAAATCACCTTTTCATCGTCAAGTGTAGCTTGTTGCAGGGCTTTGATTATTCTCCCTGAGGCCTGATCTTACGGTTCTGAAAGGAATCCCATTGAACATAGCTGGATTTCATTCTGAATAGGTTGAAGATCTTCGATTTAAGATTGCTTTCAGCTGTATAAAATGATCTAAGGAATCTACGTATCATCTGCAATCCCTTTTTTTTCCCTTTTAATTGTTCTAATTAAAATCCCTCACTTGTCAGTATCTATCTCTGTTAGATACCGGTAGTCCACAATTGGGATGGGAATTTCCATCACGTGGTCGATAAGCAAATCAGATTTCCCCGATTGACTTTGCTTGTTGGAAACGGATTGGGAAGATACAGACCATGATCATGTGACCACAAAACATTGCTACCATTGTAAAGGCAAGCTAGTTGCCAAGTTGCCTGAATTGTGATCCCAGGACCAGGCGGGTGGTGTGACAGATGTAACGGGTCAAAAGTGACTTTTTCAAGTAGTTCTGAGAAGAAACATTTTGCGATAGCTTAAAGAGAAAAAGAGTCATATATAAATGTCTGTGGACAATTCTCAGTCATCCAGGTCGTGGTTTTCCCTTTTTGAAAAGGCAACTGGACTTCGCTTTTTCCTGGAAAACGTTTCGCTTCTCATCCAAAAAGCTGCTTCAGTTCTTCAAGGTCTTTGCCTTCAAGGAAAAACAAAGTCCAGTTGCCTTTTGAAAAAGCACTTTTAGGTCATGTATAGATCTCATTAGATTCCTGGGAACTATAATGTTACTATTAAATTTTCACTTCTGGAGAAAAGCAATGATGCTACAATATTTGGAGCTTTGTGTCTGAAAACAGCCCTATCCTGTCATGGGAATTAAGAGACTTGGACTGTCCAGATGTTTTAGACTTCAATATCTTCTAGCTCCAACCAATATGATAATTGCAAAGACATGTTGGAACTGTAGTCTAAAACATCTGGCAGGTTGTATGTCTATTCCTGCTCTACATTCACAGCAGTTTGTGCTTGGATGGTAATAGCAACCTTGGCATGCAACATTTTGCTAATCAGCTCTGCTCGTATTACTAAACACAATGCTTTTGATTGATATGTTTTATTCATTCATTCCTTTATGGTCCAAACTAGATTAAAAGAAGAGACCCCATTCTGGAGAAGGAATTTGAAAGAAAGCATATTGAAATCTCTCTGAAACGTATCGTCCGACACATCAGTGAGGTATGGATTTGTTAAAAAGGCTTAAAAGTAGATGGAATTATACTTTAAAATTAAAATATACAAGTAAATGTTTATGTCCATTGTCAGGCCCTCTTGTCACAATATTAACGGATGGAGAGGTCTAGATGTTTGGAGTTGCACAAGTGAGAATTAGATTAGTATTGCACAAGGATCAGATAGAAGATAGGTTTAACGGGATTCTCCTAGATTTAACTCATGTGAAGTTGGTAAAAAAAGAAAGAAAGAAAGAAATTACATTGTCATCATAAATCTTTGATTATGATTTAGATTAGATTTTTAAAAAAAATTTAATTCTTTAATTTTACTTTTAATAAATTTCTCTAGCCACCTTCCTCCAGATGTGCTGGATTTTTAACTCACCATAATCCCCACCTAACATGGCCAAATTCAGGGGAACTGAAGCTTAAAACATCTGGAGGAAGCAGGTTGAAGAATGCAGAGTTTAGAACGTCAAAGATAAATCCATTTACAAGTAGTCCTTGACTTAACAACCACGATCGAGCCTCAAATTTCCATTGCTAAGCAAGACATTTAAGTGAGTTTTGCTCCATTTTATGACCTTTCTTGCTATGATTGTTGAGTGAATCACTGCTGCTGTTAAGTTCGTAGCAACGTTAAGCTTCCCCAATGACTTTGCTTGTTGCAAAAGGGGGTCACATGACCTTTGGTCAGTGCAACTGTCATAAATACATGCCAGTTGCCAAGTATTTTGATCATGTGTCCGTGAGGATGCTACCAACATTCATAAATGTGAAAAACAGTCATAAGTCACTTTTTTTCAGTGCTGTTGTAACTTCAAACAGTCACTAAGTGAATGGTCGTGAGCTGAAGTCTACCTGTAGTTATTAATAGGTACTGCTTAAGGAAGCTTCAGGGTCCTCCTTTTGTATTTTTACTGCTTACCACTTTGGGTGTTAAGGAAGATAAAAAGTTCAGGATTGCTGAGATGTAATGTTCCATTGTTAAATTAGATGTAATAACATTAAATCGGTAGTATCATTGGTTAAAATTCAAAACTCTGAACATTTATGGCTGCAACTTTCTTTTCTTGTCTGCCAATAGCGTCCCCAATTTCAGCCTACTTTTGACCTTCTGCTTAATAATCCTTGGTATCACAAGCACAGAATTCAGCAACGATTCCAACAAGCTGCACGAAAGGTACTGAAACAAAATTGCTGCAGGTAAATACACACATGCAGATACCAGCTGCAGATATACTTATTCATTTTTGCCCAGCCTTTTTCTGATCCTATAGATATATGGTACCTGATCAATTTGCCTAAGAGATGAGCGCTTTTTAAAATTGTACTTATTGGAGCTATTGTAGATTCACAGTGTTTACCTGCATGAATAGAGTTGTGTATCTTCAGCCCAGAAAAACTTTCCATTTAGTTGAAGTGGAAAGGGTGGATCTATATTTATAATTTGCTTAGGACTAAACTGGGGATTTCTTTTCCCCCCCCCCTTTTTTTTTAGTACATATAATATGATCGTATAAATATGCTGTAGATTTTATTTTTCATAAAATAGAAACGTCATCCTTCGTATTTTGCTTCAGTATGAAAAGTTCTAAGTTCTGATTAAAATCAACAAGTCTGAGCATTAAAATGAAGGAATTCCAATATATATTATAAAGCTATTATAACCTTTAACATTCGCAACACTTGGCTCTAAATTTTTTAGATATCTGTTGACTGATAAATCTTCAAGTTTAGAAAAAATGTATTTCAATTTTCAATAAGCAAAGGCTCTGCTAAATTAAAATAATTTGAAATATATAATCTCAGTTTAGTCAGTATTAATACTGTTTTGTGCATTTCACGAACTCTCTATGCAATTATAATAATGTTCAGTATCAAAGAATAATATCCTATTATCGAAGAATAATATCCTATTATCAAAGACCAAAAATATTATCATAATTCAATTCTTGATTTTAACAAGACATTATATTTATTTTCCCCACACTGGTCATACTCTTCTGCTGATCAAATTGTATTTCAAAAAATTCATGCTATTAACTACTTTTAATCTGCTATTGCAGTTGTTATGTTTACTCTTTTCAATACAGTGCTACCTTTTGAGGTAACTATTTGGCAAATTAACATGAGATTTCCCCAAATAAATAAATAAATAAATAAATGACGATAATAAAAACTTCCCCCTGTACTTTCTGCTTTTTAATTGGCTCAGACTAGCTATCATGGTTATGAAGCTTAACTGACTGGGTACCATGTTTTAATTTGACAAATTATGACTAGTAATTGTCTAGTAACCAGTATCAGAATATTTACTATGGAAAGTTTTGTGCTCCCTTAATCATTTTGTTCCTATAATTTTGGAAGCTTATTTTTAGAAATTTGGGTGTTCAGTTATAGTTAGGATAAGCTCAGGTATGCAGTCTATTTACTCCCAATGTATTTAGTCTTTTATTCCCTATTACCGATATATGGTACTTTGCAGATATTTCAGACCTGCAGCTTGCACAGTCATAGCCTACATAGCGAAATACCAGGACTACTGGGGATTCTGGGAGTCGTAGTCACCAAATTCTGAGTAATTACAATAATGCATTGGTGATCAGCTTTCAGTTATTTTACATCCTTTCAGGAACATTTTGCAGTTTTTGGCTTATTTGCAAAAAGTTAAAAACAGTGTTTTGGCCTTTTGTCTCAAATACATATTATTATGATATCTCAGTGTTTATTTATTGTGCCTTAGTTTTTTTTAAAAAAATATGCCAAAGGATTATTTGTCTTACCTGTTTTCAAGATTGTTCTATAAACATTTATGTTCTATAAATTTAATAGAGAAAAATTGAGCCTGTCACTTTTTAGACTTACTGACTGATGGCACCTAGCTGAACATATCTCAAAGATAGACACCACTTTACAGAATTACTGATAAACCACTGAATAGGTCTTAATCATTTTTATAGGTCCTGATTCAGATTCGGCTAGATAAAGTGATAAATTTGCTTCATGACGTATTTAAGCAGTACAAAGAACAAGAGGAAGAAGAGAAGAGATTGATATCAGGTAAACCCTCAGAATTACACAACTATTGCCAGTTTTTGCTTCCTTTACAAGTACAGGTCATTTCATATGTTGCAATTAAAATATGTGCCACCACAATGTGTAAATTGTGTGATGAAAACATGGAATTTATTAGATGTAAATAATTAGAAAAACATTTCCATGAAAGTGGCTTCCATTGTCAAGTGGGCCCATGTCTTTTTGTTGCGCTGCTTTCCCCACTTCTTTGTTGCCGGGCCATAACTCACAATTATTGAAGCCACAGAAGATGGGTAAATAGGTTGGCCCATTTGACTCATAAAAATCAAGCGATAGAGCACAAGGAAAAGATGAAAAGATACATCTTGTCCTCTTCTTCCTCATCCTTGGAGTCAAGAGGTAAATGACTAGATGAAGCACCAGAATGCTTCTCTGTCGCCCATCCAATGTTCTTATACTTCAGATCTTAGCATTTGTCCATGTCTGTCTCCGTGTGGCAGAATGCAGCAGTTTTAAAACATCCAGCACCGCTGCTATAAATGAAGAGGAGAAGAGAATGCCTTTTGCCTTGATTGCAGCTCGAATACAGCCGTTTGAATTCCCTACTTACAATCCACCACAATGGGCTGTTGAACTGGTAAGTACCACCAGGAGGACACCAACAATGCAATCCCTAAGAACCCTCTTTGAACCCTATTTTTTCTGAAGCCAACCAATCTATAGAACCAGCATCAGTGAAGCTGTCAAAACAAGTTTGTGAACATTATAAGCACTAAACCTCAGTTCTCTTAATTTTTCACAATTGCCCTTTTAGATGATCTTGTTAAAGGTATTATCCTAAAACAGATGTTGGATTTTTTCCCTCCTTACATGAGCCAGTGTGGCCATCGTCGTCGTTCAAGTTAAACCTGATTCACCAAATGTAAACATAAGTTTATTTATTTAGAAAATTGATACGGCCATCCATCTTAAATAAGGGATGTGGTGGCTCAGTGGCTAAGACGCTGAGCTTGTTGATCGAAAGGTCGGCAGTTCAGCGGTTCGAATCCCTAGTGCTGCGTAACGGGGTGAGCTCCCGTTACTTGTCCCAGCTTTTGCCAACCTAGCATTTTGAAAGCACATAAAAATGCAAATAGAAAAAATAAGGGCCACCTTTGGTGGGAAGGTAACAGCGTTCCGTGTGCCTTTGGCATTTAGTCATGCCGGCCACATGACCACGGAGACGTCTTCGGACAGCGCTGGCTCTTTGGCTTTGAAACAGAGATGAGCACCACCCCCTGGGGTCAGGAACAACTAGCACATATGTGCAAGGGGAACCTTTACCTTTACCATCTTAAATACATACTCTGGGTGGCTAACAACCAAATAACCAAAAATAATTTAAAAACAAAACCCTATAGCCCCTGTACCCAAACAAACTATAGATAAAATATAAAAAGGAAGGGTTGGGGCATATTGAAATAGAGTCAAGGGAATGGCGGTGAAAATTTTTATCATGCAAGAAGAAAAAGAATAGGAAGTGAGGAAGGAAAAATGAATCTCTTGACGCTTGCTCCCCTCAGTAGCTTACTTTTCAAAAGGTTTTTCTCACTCTGTCAGGTTGGAAGATTTTTTTTTTTTAATGAACTTCAATATTCTGCTGATACAGTATTAACTTTTAAAGGGTTTTGGGATTGGTTTGATTTGATTTTGATTTGTTTTTGTTTAGGTGGCTAGTGGGCTGACATCTTTTTGCAATGATTTGGAAAAAAAGGAACTGCTGGCTTAGCTCGTGTAATATTCCATGGCAAAATCTACTGAGGTTTTTTTGCTACTGTTTGTTTGTTTGCTGTGTGAACCAGCCATTGTAGTTTACAAACCATAGTTTATGTACAGTGCATTTTGTGAACATAACCATTTGTAGTTTATTGAATTATACGAACATAGCAATAGTTTAACATGTGCAACTCATCCAGTCTCATAAACAATTTATGGGATAGGATAAGGTGGAAGGAGACATAAAGGCCAGCCTCAGAGCTGCACAGTTTCCCTCTTTGGACCTAAAAAAAGATTTGCAGCCTTAGTGTAGTAGCATTGTCTGGATAGTTCTGCCTAGCCAGGATTACTCTCAATGGAGGCAGTATAGCATCTGTTACTGTATTACCTGGGCTCTTATTCTGGGTAGAGAATGGCAGAAATGTACCTGTAGAGATTCTAAACCATCCAGGTCATGGTTGCCCCAAAGATGTTTTTCGAAAGAGAACTGGACTTTCTTGTTTTTTTCTGAACTTTCTGTCAGAACTGAAGAAGCTTATTGAAGGGGTTCCCAACCCCCGGGCCGTGGCCCACTACCGGGCCTTGAGCCTTTCAGAACCGGGCACCGAAGTGGTGGGCAAGCGCATGCACACCCCCATCTCACAAGCAGCAGGTAAGCACTTGCGCAAATGGAGCTGCACACCCACCCACCCACCCACGCATGGAACCATCCCTTCCCCCAGGGGTGAAATCTACTTACTTTCCTTACCAGTTCGGAAGTGCACACGCCCCATGCATGCATCACATGTGCGTGCAGACCCTCTACACATACGCAGAGGTTAAAAAACACATTACTTCCTGGTTAAAACCAGGAAGTAACGACACCCGGGCGGGTGGGCAGAGACTCGTGCCGCCATCACTACCGGATTGCCCAATCCAGTCCGAACTGGGAGCATTTCACCCCTGCCTTCCCCCCTCCCCCCCGCCCCCTGCCAGTCCGCAAAGCCAAAAAGGTTGTGGAACTCTGGCTTATTGGATGAGAAGCTAAACATTTTCAAGGAAAAAAAATCAAGGAAGTCCAGTTGCCTTTTGAAAAGCACCTTTGGGGCAGAAATGTCCATGTCCTTGTCTTGGCTCTTTGCTGGATCTGTCGTGATGTGATCATCTTCCTTTTGATCCTCCTGCAAGTAATCTTGGCTGCATTTATACACATCATGGAGCCAGGATTCTTTTCAATATTCTTGTTCAACAAGCCATTGGTTTTGGACATAATGCTAAACTACAATAGGTGGATTTTCTCATCACAGCAAGCAACAGAAGTAACCATACATTAGCCTAGTATTAAATGTGAACCAAGTAAACGTATGCGTCAGAATTTATTTTTACAAATCATGACTAACAATGTGATATGTAAGCTACATTATGAACAAAATATGTTCCAATCTGATACTGATGACTTTTTTAAAAAATGAGCAGAAACACATATCCACATAACAATTTGGTTTGTTGATTTTTTTTTCTCCCTCCAGGCACCAGAAGTTTTGGGCATAGTTCCTCTTAAGTCTGCTTCAGTGAAAATCAAACAGCTCCACCACTTTTATGATCTAAAGGTTAGCTGCAATTGATCAAGTCATGCTCTGTGGTCAAATTAATGTATTCTATGCAAGCAGTAGTTAATGTTAATTTAGTGGCTGTATCCAATTCGGCATCTCCAAGTATGTAGGATTTCAATTATTGCAGCCCGAGATGACAGTATGTTCATTTTTAATTGGGGGTGGGGGGTGTGGAATATTAGAGGAGCAGAAGGTTCTGAATATAGGTTCTGAATATCACTTGTTGGCCTCCTTAAAGGAACTGCCCCTGCTGGGCTCCCACAGTAACCATGCCACCTATAAGTAAGGCCCCAAGAGTGCTTTCGTACCCACTCCAAAGGATTTTCTCTCACCCTATCAGTACCCCTTAGTTCAAATGCACACAGGCAGTCCTCAATGTACAACTACAATCGATCCCAACATTCCTGCTCTTAAGTGAGACATTTCTTAAGTGAGTTCTGCCCCCATTTTACGAACTTTCTTGCCACTGTTGTTAAGTGAATAACTGCAGTTGTTAAGTTAGTAACACGGTTGTTAAGCGAATCTGGCTTCCCCATTGACTTTGCTCACCAGATGGTCCCCAGGACACTGCAACCGTCATAAATACATGCCAGCTGCTAAGAGTCTTGAGTTTTGATTACATGACCATGGAGATGGGTGGGGTCGTAAGTGTGAAAAACAGTCCTAAGTCACTTTTTTTTCCAGTGCCATTGTAATTTGGAATGGTTACCAAATGTACTGTTGTAAAGGACTACCTGTATATTCTTGGGACTGTACAGCTACTGTGAGTCCAGGAAAAGATGCAACCTCTTGAAGGAGCCCAACAAGAGAGGCATGTATGCCAGTGGTGAAATTCAAAACTACCGGTTCTGTGGGCATGGCTTGGTGGGCGTGGCAGGGGAAGGATACTGCAAAATCTCCATTTCCATTCCACTCTGGGACCAGCCAGAGGTGGCATTTGCCGGTTCTCCGATCTACTCAAAATTTCCACTACCGGTTCTCCAGAACCTGTCAGAACCTGCTGAATTTCATCCCTGATGTATGCCCATATATGCCTATGAAGGAACCTTGCTGCTTCAGATTCAAAGTACCAGGCATCCATGGCATAACATTTTTCCTGTACCAAGAGAACTTTTGTAGCAAGTTATATGCTGGGTGTGTGAATCATGAACAGTAAGGTACTTTTTAAATTTCATTTGGTTCATTCATTTGATTTTTAGGGATATCTGGTTTTTGTTTTGTTTTGTTTTACCTCAAGGTACCCCAGCATTTCAGTAGCATGGCATATCAACCATTCTGTGTACATCATGCAGCCACTAGTTACAAGGTTCCAAAATATTCTCAAACTCTGAAATCAGGCGCAGAGGTAATTAATCTGTTCTGTGTTTTACTTTTCTTTTTCGGATGTGTTTTTTTGGTCATGCTATTTCCCTGCAATAATTTTCTGCCTTTTTTCAGGAAGAGCTGATTCCACTAATACCTGCCTCTGAAGAAGAACCCTCAGTTACACAGGCTGAGGAATGGGACACTTCCCTCTTAAACCTGAAAGCCCCCGAAGCTTTGCTTCACCCTCCAAACCATCATCCACTTCAAATTTTTGTGAGTAAAACAGAGTAAGGAACACTGGGACAGTTTGTCCCACCAACAAAGAATGAGGAATACACGCAGATAAGATTGTTGCTGTATAATTTTAGGACAGTTGTATTTGATCTTGATCATATGCTTACACACACACACTTTATTTAATATTTGGACAATAATCTATCTAATTCAGGATTAATTAACAAATGTTTGCTAAGATCTTGGGTTTTATTCCCATTCCTAAATGTTTCCCAATTCCATTGTGTTGATTGGATTTGCACATTGTGCTGAAGCATAGTATAGTTTGCTTGTTCACACTTCTGGTTAGTGGATCCTATCTTATGACTTAGCATGTTGTGAGAATGCAACCATGGATGTTTATTAAATAAATCTTAAGAGTGTTCCCTAAACAAACAATTCCTCCCAGGCAAAAATTTATAGTCCTTTTTGCTCCAAGGATGTCTCTCCATCAGCAGCCAAGTATCATTTGGCCCTTGGATGGAAGCCTTTTTTAAAATGCAACCTCCAACTATAAAATAGTTTTCTAGCATGATTTATTTGAGCACCGTTGGTGAGGTTTGCATAGTCCAGTAAGATACAACCCGAAGAGGCTACTTTCCCACAGTAGAAAAGGAGCAGCTATATTTTACCGTGGTGAACGAACCCAGTCAAAAATATCAAGATCGCTAATCAGAACTTTCAGAATTGCTAGGCTGATCATCTTTCTATCAGACTCAGCATGTCATCCTGTGTGACTTCATTTTATATGCTGAGGTGCTTCCTTTTGATGGCAGTAAAAGCTATGCAAGATAACTGTAAGCTTTTCTTTGTTTTTGTTCCTTGTCAAGGCTTTTTTTTCCCCCAGTTGGCCCAAAAGTGTTCTTGCTTCAATGTTTTTCTTCTTTGCTTTTCAGAATCCTTGTCCGGGACTGCTTGATCTCAAGCTACCCCTACCCTATACAGAAACCAACATGGAATATCATGTTTGCCCTCTTCCAAAATTTCCAAATTGCAATAAATTCCCAAACGGCACTACAGTTACACAAAAGAAGTTTCTTCATCATAGGGTAAAACTTGTCACTGGAACTTTTAACAGCTGACAGGGATGGTGGATAGCTTTTCCTAACACGTTTATGGTCATTTCAGGAAGTGATTCGTGGTGTGACTAACTGGAGAAAATTCCCACCAGTTATCAATTCAACCTTATCGGGCACAGTGCCTTTGAGTAATACGGCAGTGCCATTTTGGTAAGAATAATTATCATTTTTATTAAGAGCATCTTCACTCTCTAGAGCAGAGGTCTTCAAACTTGGCAGCTTTAAGACTTGTGGACTTCAACTCCCAGAGTTGAATAGCTGGCTGGAGAATTCTGGGAGTTCAAGTCCACAAGTCTTAAAGCTGCCAAGTTTGAAGACCTCTGCTCTAGACCAAAGTGGGCCTTTTTCACTTGGAATACTGCTAAAAATGGTAAAGAGAGTTTCAGCAACATAATAGAAAAAGTTTGGAAGTGTTTGACTTTGTAAGAAGCAGTGGAAAGCCCTTCCCCCAAATTTCTGGATGCTTTCAGGCTGCTTTTCTTAAAGAAAAATGTCCTCTGGGTGTTTTAGATCCCCTATATTCCCAAATAAAATGTTTGTCATATTTTATAGGTTTGGTTAAAATTAAAAATATTGAGAGAGGATTAAGCTGATGCCTCTGCTGTAAAGTAATACTGCTTCTAGACACATTATATGAGTTGATTATATGGAATACTTTTAGTATCCTACTCTTCAGCTGTTTAGGTTCTTAAATTTGTTAGCTAAAGTCAGTTGCAAACAATGTGATTATTATTGCTCATCAGTACCTGGCTCAGATTTAGCTATAGGTACAAATCCTGGAGCTTACTTAGTTTGCTTATACTAGGCATATTTAATAGAAAATGAAACATAGTTAAAGTGTAAGGCATTGGGAATGGTTTTCAGAGACCAGAAATTTTATACTTCGCTTCTCAGCAAAATGGGGGGAAATGGGAAAATGATTGAAGACTTAATACAGTGAGTAAACGAGTTGGGCTTATTCCACAGACCATAATTAAAACAAGCCTGAACTTAGCAGTGTGTGATGTCAAACACCATATATTCTAGATCGTTAAGAGAAAATAGAGGTAAAGCACGGAGGAGGAGGAGTATACAGGTAGCCCTCAATTTAACAACCATTCAAAGTTACAACGGCACTGAAAAAAGTGACTTATGACCAGTTTTCACACTTATGACCTTTGTAGCATGATCATGTTGATTGCATGATCATGTGATCAAAATTCAGATGCTTGGCAACTAGTTCATATTTACATGATCATTGCTGGGTCCCAAGGTTACGTGATTGAGCCTTTTGCAACCTTTTGATCAGCAAAATCAATGGTGAAAGCCAGTTTCACTTAATAACCATGTTACTAACTTATCAGTTGCAGCGATTCACTTCACAACTGTGGCAAGAAAGGTCGTAAAATGGGGCAAAACTCACTTAACAAATGTCTCACTTAGCAACAGAAATTTTGGGTTCAATTGTGGTCAATAAGTCAAGGATTACCTGTAATAGGGAAGATCCTGTAATGAATGTGACTCTTGTTCGTTGTAATACATTTTAATTGCTTGGTATTATATTAGAATAGGATAACATGCTTCATTTATTTTTCATTTGAAAGAAAAGGATGTAGGTATCAAAGCCAGGAAAATGACATCAGTGCTGTAGTTCATATTCAATTTGAAACCCTCCACTTGTGTTAGAATGCAATACTTCTATGGATTAGGAGACGTGAAGTCCCAATAAAACTGGAAGAGCCAGCCCTAAGGTTAATTTCAATTGTCCTTACCACGTGCTTCCCTTAACATCTCAATATGATTCCACTTTCTGCAGCATTGATCCTTATAACCCCGACATGCTTCCAGATGATGCGCCTCCAATTCTGCATGAGTTACCACAACAAGACAAGGAAAATGTGGTGGACGAGTAAGTTTTCTCTCCACTGTTCATTCCGCATAATTCTATTGCATATCAAGCACTGGGATTTAATATAAGCAGGTGTTTATGTGTGGGCGCATAATTAAAAGCTCACAAGATTGCCGTCAGACATCTTGAAAAGTAAAATAATTGGCAACTTAAATTTTAGAGCAATTGAAGGAGAGGCTGCCGTCTTACTTACACCACAGATGATAAAAGCCGAATTTCCACAGATTGACTTCTTAGCAGAAGAGAATAAATCAAAGGAGGGAAGGTATGTCTGTTTCCGCTGAAATCTCATGCAAAGCCTATGCTCTGGTCCTTAAAATGTGGACTTCAGGCAACATGCAGTTGTTCTGAACAGGAAATGCAGGGATGAAATATTCTGAATGGATAGCTTTCATGTGAGAGAAAGAGAGGCTTAAATGCTTCATGAGCCTTAGGAATAGTCCACAACTATTTATGGATAGTTTTGCCCTTAAGCACAAAAATCAGATAGGGTTAGGTACAGAAATCCATTCAGAAGTGTAGTTTTTGTAGTAAGGAAGTAAAATATTTAACCAACCTTTCCTTGAGTTACAGTCTGGAATTGGGGAAAGGGATTATTTTTCTTCCTAAATAATAGTTCTTTGAACAAAAAAATGTTGCCACATTCTCTGTATTCAACCCAAGCTTGCTTGGATTTTTGTGGCAAAGCAATACACTTTATAATGCTGACTGACGAATATTTATCCTCTAGGCTTGATTAAGTTTTTCTGTTCTTAAGTCTAGAGTCTTAAGGCAACTAAGACGATGGTCGGAATAGTCCCTTAAAAGTGTGTTCCAGGCAGCCAAGCGTGGTGCCCAAACTGCTACATTGTGCCACCATAAATTGCCACTACTTTAGTTCTGGAGAGCTTGCTGTCACATACATAATTTAAATGGCATTCCGCTCCATTTAAATCACATTCACACTAATAAAATGCATTGGCGACAAGCTTATTCATGCAGGAATGTTCCCTACAGGCAGAGTTGACAAAGAAGACTGGTCCGTCACTCTTTGCCCCATCCCTGCACTTATTAGTTATATTAATTTATTTCTGAACACCAGGACTTCTAAGACATTCTGGAAAAGTCAAATGTTTGCGCACTCCTTTATGTCATTCTATTGCTCATAATAAAATTATTACCCAATAATAGAGGGGTGCTTTTTTGACAATTATTTCTCTTTTATTTCTCTTTTAGTGAAGGAAATGCAGAAATGAAAATTGGTTCTTTTACATCTCTATATAAATCTGTGCCTATTTCCAGGTAATGGAATTGTTTGAATTGTAAACGCCAATGGATTGCTTTGGTATTAGCGCTAATAGAAATCATACTGAAGTGTATTGTTAGATGTACACTTCAATAAGGTTCCTTATGGCCTTATTCAGTGGATTCAAAAGAGCAAAAGGATAAGGCTGGATGCCCTCAAGAAACTTAATAAAAAAAACTAAGAAAGGCTGGATTTTAGTAAAATTCAGCAAAGAATTGCAAATATTGATAAAGCAATGGGGCTTACTTCCGAAAAGGCCTAATAATGTTCGGTGATTTCTCATTCTTTACAGGTTTATTTGAATTTGGGTTTAACTGATTTTATTGAGATTGGAAGGTTTCTCCCTTTATTTGGCTTTACCAAAACTCAATAATGATGCTAGTGGCATTATAGAATAAAAAAGAAACTAGAGTGTATTTCAAAGAAATGGGGTTTTGTTTTTTTTAGCATGTTACAGACTTGCATTTAAAAAAAAAAAAAACATTATAGAATGGCTGTTTTCACAAAAAGGCAAAATGATATCACTTTTAAAAAAAAAAAGTCTTATTTTGCCCTAGAGCAGAGTTTTTTGGAACTTGGCGACTTTAAGAGGATTGGAATTCTGGAAGTTGGAGTCCATATATCTTAAAGTTGTCAGGTTCCAAAAACCCTTCTCTAGCACTTCAATACAAAATGAAGATGGGATATGAACATAAGCTTTCTTTTTATTCTACAGTTCTTCAGATCTTCAAAACATACTTTTCTTCCTCTTCTTCTCCCATCCCACCCCACCTCACCCTATCATATACCTCCCACTTTCCAACATACAAGATCTTTTCTCTCTCTCCAGTGCTGTTTGTTTCATGGTCAGTTCTTTTCAAGCATGTGGAATATTTTTGTTCTTTCCCTCATTTCATAACACTTAGAACAGGGGTGTCAAACTCACAGCCCATGAGCCAAATGTGTCACGCGCTGGCCATGCCCACCTCCACCCCCGGTTTAGTGAAGGGGGGGAAGTCACGTGACACCCCTGACTTAGAACATATGGAAATCACTTAATTGATTCTGCTCCCTGAGGCAGAAAGAGAAAACTGGTTTAGCCTTCTGATAAAACCTGCTCCTTAAGGATGCTAAACTCATGATGAAGCACACCAGGGGAGCTGCTATTGAGAACTCACTCCATCTTTTCCTGTAAAGAGGAAGTTAGTTGTACCAAATAGGTAACCCATCCTCCCCCTTGAAGGTCTGTAGAACCATTTTTTACAAGACTGGTTTTTTTTATCTATATATTTATAAATTGGCCAGGATATCCAGCTTGGAGGGCAAAACTAGGACAACCTAATCAAAACAGAATCTATGGTAAAAATAGAATATGTTTTGTTAGCCTGACTCTGTTTGAATTCTAAGAACAGTTTTAAACAACAGCAGGCTATGGATGATAATATAAGATTATATTTTGAGACCTCAAGGTATGATCCAAATATATAACTATGACAGCAAATCTTTTATTTTCCAAATCATCATTTGCCTAACTTTTTAAATTTAAAACTCTATTTCCTTTTGCTGGTCTGAAAACAACCTAATTTACATGTTCAAACTTTTTCTGTATTCTTATTTCTAGTGATGTGAGGGACATCGTGGATTCATATATTGCAAGTCAGAAAAATATATATGGCCGAAGGATTTCAGAAACTGCGGAGAAACTGAAAGAGAAGACAATTGACAAGACTATGATCCTAAATTAGATTGTCTCCTTGGGACAGGCTTGAATGTTTTTAAGTGCCATCCACATTTTTCTATGCTTCTTATAATGTGAGTCACCCAGTAGGGACACACAACATTCTAGTGATTCAGGAACAGAACATTCCAGAGAGTTCCAAAATATTCGTTTCCCTTTTAGATTATGTCAAACCGAGGAGCAATGGAACATTCCATTGTTTTTCCCACTTCTAAATTGTCAAATTTTGCTGGTCCTTAGTGCCCCTACTGTTATACTTCCATGCAAGATACTATAACTTTGCAAATTAAATTGTATTTGTGCAGGAGCCTCTGCTACACAAAATGAGGCATATATTTCCTAGCTACTGAGATCAACTTTGTATATTAGCAGAGGAAAGAGTGTCAAATAAGTTGTTACGGGTGTGATAATCCTCTTTGGGTTAATTTCCAATTTGATCTTCTATGTTCCTTATTTCTTACTCTCATCTCCTATGTGGCCTATTTAATTATTGCTGTTAATATGTATATATTTATCCATCCCATTAAAATTCCTAGACTGGCCAGTGTATATACATAAACCCACCTAAACTATTTTTATATCTGTGCACGTATAGTGTTGTCAGTCTCCTGTGAATGAACACTTACCGCTTTCCAATAAAATGTAGAGAAGGTACTACGTTCTGTATTTGTGCTGAGTGGCTATAATATGAATAGTATTATACACTGGACCGCCTTGAAGTATTTAATTCTCCTGTATTCCTGAGTCTAACACAATGGCTGTTCTTCAGACTACAAGTCAGATCAGGTCAGGAGTAGGCAGGATCGGATGGTTTGAACTTCAGTTCTTGTTAGCTGTATCCAGCACAGCGATGGACAAGGGACCAGGGGCAGGGGGTTACCGTTTTAAAAGAGCTGCACTAATTTGCCAACCCCTGGAAAAAGCACATTAAGTAGAAAAAGTGATCAGGAATAAGCAAACACATGGCCCTGCTCACAACATGAATCCATTCAGAACCAGTTTAAAATGATACATAAAAGTTGTCTTATCAGCAGTCAAAACAGAGAGGAAGTCTTATTTGTTGTTCCAGCAAAGCCAAGAAAAATATCATGCAAACAAAATGTCAGCAAATAAGCTTGCTCCTGTTAAAGACAATAAATAAATGTGCTTCATTTTCTCCTCTTTTTTTTTTTGTAATAGGATTAATTTGTTAGGCAGGTTTTCTTACCTTGTTGCCTCATATCTTTCACCTAGCAAATCATCATGTATTTATTAATACACATATTAATATATTGATTCATGGCTTTCATTCATGTAAAATTGTGTTACAAGGGGTAGATTTATGGTGTTCATTAATATCTTAAAAAATGGAAAATGCTGATGAGTTTTGATGCTTGGCATTCATAGAAAAGCAGTGTATTTTCTAATGTTAGAATTACAACATAATTAGGGTGAATTGTATGGCTAACTACAGTTAACAGGTGTAGTAGTAAGTGGTTTATCTTAAACTGCAGGATTATAGGGAGAGGAGAAAAATAAACTGGCCTGAATAACAAACAGGTTTAAGCCTTTTTAAATTCTAATGAATAATATCCTAAAGCTGTAAATGTCTGATTCAGACCTGCATTCATTTCTGTGTACTGTAGTTTGCTTAATTTTCATTTTCTGTGAGGACACAGAATATATTTAAGTTTATGAAAGTATTCTTCTAAATCTGCAGGTGGTACTATATTTGCAGTTTTCTATTGACAGGTGTTAGCTGTTGTTGTCTTTTAATGTTATGGTGAACCTTCTCTTAGGGACACTGAATATTGCACTGAAGGCTTTTTTCAGTGCCGTTGTAACTTTGAATGGTCCTTAAGTGGTGTAAATTGAGGGGAATTTTTTTTTCTAGCAGTTGAATCTAGCACATAAAAATAGCCTTGTTGGATGAGACCAAGGTGCATCTTGGCCAGCATTTTTTGTTTGTTTGTTAGTTTGTTTGTTTGTTTTCACAGTGACCATGGCCATGCTTTGGGTTGCTGTCAAAGAGAAAATGAGATTTTCTGCTCTCCTCCCTTTGCTCCCTTTGGAATCCTCCGGATGTACAGATGGCATGGGCTAAAGAGCAGCCCATCTCAATAGTGGCAAACATGCTATGGGATGTTCTCCCAACCAGAAATACAAATGCACCTTTCTTTTCACAATGTTGTAAAGACTTCCCTAATCTAGAGTCAGATAGCAGGTAGTGTCACGGTGCAGTACTAGAAAGAGTCAAGAAAGCAAGTTAAGAGCTCTCTTGTTATCCAAGTAGATGTCTAGTTTGAAAATGCCTTTAGAAGAGTCAGTCTAAATAAACAAAGCCATTCCATTTTCAGGAACCATTCTTGTTTCCATTCTTTTTTTCATCCTTTTTCCGTTACTCCTTTCTAGGGTGCCTCCTGTTAGTGATCTGTAAGCTAGCACGCCCAGATTCCTTTATTTGTGAAGTGGAAATATAAATGATTTAAATGTTAACCAAACAAATAATCCAGTTAATAACCAAAAGGTTGACTGGTGGGCTTTAAGGCCAAAAACTTTTCAGATGACTTGTGATTTATAACAGAGTATGACTCTAATGTGGCCACTTTGAAAAATGATTACAAATCTTCAGCTGATGCACAAAATGCAAATAAAGGACTGTGAAAATGAAGAACTGTGCTGCCATTTTTAAGACACCAGCCTTAACTACTAAAGTTGGTAGTTCTCTTCAAAGCAAGATTCAGAGTATTTGTACCTTTAACTTTCTGTATGGCTTAGGATCAATAGGTTATCTAGAACAATTGCTCTTGTACAAATCTGCTGGATATTAAGATCTATTAAAGAAATAAAGAGAATAGTAATAAATTAAGATATTTTTTCCTCCAGTGGAGGGGGGATAACTCATTTTTAAAATCCCTTCTGTCAAGGATGCTTACCCAGCACTGGTTTTACTATTTTTCTTCCTGCATTTAACAATCTTTTTAAAATGTCTACATTGGGATTTGCAGACTTCATTTAAGCAAAGATTTTACATCTACTTTGGTTTGTGTTTTCTCATACCACCATCTTTTATTGTTCTATGCAGTTGTTACAAAATAAATGTAACATAAAGGACTCTGTTTAACCACACCCATTAAACCATTCAAGCATTATTTGCTCCTGCACCATTCTTCAGAAATTAGAGTGTGGACTTCTTCAAGTTGATTCATATTAAAATAGTTATTATATCAGGTGGGTACATCCTATTTGTACATCTTTTTTTTTATGGATATTTAAAAACTGAATTAAGATGTGAATAAGGTTAAGAAATCTTAACTTGTATAAATAATAGTTGGTGCAATAATAATTCTAACAGTAAACTCTTACATAAGTCAATAAACTAGCAACTAAATTGGCAATAAATCAGGAATAGGCAGAAAGAAATATTTATTCACAAGTGGATAATTGCATTATGGAATTCGCTGTTACCAGGGCCAGCAATGTATTGGTGATTTTAAAACATAATCACGCACATTTTTTTTAATGAAGTGTTTATAATCTGCGAGAATTCCTGCTGGTTAACAATAACAGATGGTATGCATAAAAATTAAAATGTTCACAGCAAAAATGTATTTAATTAAAAACATTAAAATAAACAATGCAGCGACAATAACATTCTAATAGCACAGACAGCATCGTGTTACTCTCCAAATACTCTCCAGAAGATCTCTGTTTTCAACAGTTTGCAGTGAGCAAAGATGGGCTAATCTGATTTTTAACAGCCAGCCCTTCCAATCCAGGTGCCACTCAAAAATTAGCTTCTCTGAAACTCATCCTCCTTCACCTTATAAAAGTGAGGAACTTCTTATGCTTTCTGTTGGAATCACAAATCAGACCAGTTGATTCCAGCTGAAATCTTCCTTGATGATGCCTTCACTTGTCCATCCAGCAGTATAATCCAGTCCAGAACCATGCCCAAATCCTAGACTTGATTTTTCTGGTGTTATGCCTTTCCTGCAAGAACCACACCTAGGGCTGATGGAGAACCTCAGTGAAGAAACAAAAACCTCCACTTCTCTTGAGTTCAGCTTTAGTCTGTTTCATCCCACCTAAATCCCAACAGCCTCCGAGCATGGGTAAAAGATTATGACAGTATCTTCAACTTCATCTAAAATGGCAGTGCCCCATATGGAAAACATAATTGAACGCACTAAGAATTGGCTGGCTGATTAAGAAGTATGTGTGCTAAAACCAGAAGAGATGAAGTCAGAAATGAACCAATTAAGAATGTTGATTTAATACCAATGTGTGACCAATGCAAGACATTAAGGTGGTTTGGTCATATAGAGAGGATTGTACTGCAAAACAAAGACGTGAAGAGTGAAAGGGTTGAAAGCAACAGCGCATCCTTGGAGAAGGGTTGCAGAAAGGGTAGGCGAAATGGAGAGTACACGTTGCAACTAACATCTTGTCCCTTTTGCCTATGCACCAATATTGCACACATATACAAAAGAGGTGGTCTTTGATTAAATGCATGACTGGCACCTTGCTTAATTTGACTCTGTCTGCAGATAGTGGTGGTGGAGTGGAAGAGAAAGACTGGGAAAGTCAGGGATGGATGGAGTTGATGTAATATAAAGAAGAACATTACGAGCAAAAGACAGTATATTTGAGTGGTATAAGAATTAGTCTTTCCTATTTCTTCTTTTTTTTTCCTGCACTCTGAATAACTATTTACCACAAAAGGGGAAAGCATCATGGGTATGTATATACTGTATATATGCTAGCTCTTTTTAGAAAGGTATAAACACAAGTTAATCGAAAAGCCATTTGCCCTATAGCATCATTAAAATATGGAAATGTTCTTGGTTATTGTATGCGTGGAACGAACTACCATAATAAAATGCAGGTATTCCAGTTTTGCCAGTTTTTTGAACTGGTTGAGTAAATAATTCAAATGTACCTTTTCTTTTATTGTATCTAGCACACATTTATTGCTGCAGAAATAGTAAATAAGTAGTAGCACCCACAATTTAACTTCTACTATTTGAAATATGTTTTAACGATTAGGTTAATGCACCCTACCTAACAGTCAGTGACTGTTAAATCTATTTTTCCTTGCATTTTTTCACCTAAGCACCAGATGGCATTAGGAGCAAAGTAATAAAATACACAAGATTTTTTTTTAACCCAGCATATTGTTCCAAAGAAAAGTTATCCAAACCCTCCCTGCATAAGGGAGCCAACAGCCATATTACTGTCAAATCCTATAGAATAACATGGAAGTCTATGATTCATAATATTACAGCTGCATTTGTATGATACACTGAACCAAACCAGCCACCCACATTAGCCTAGTAAATTATACAAGCCTAGCTTGTATGATTATAATATGATTCAGTGTGTCATAGAAATCAAGAAAATTAGGATGAAGAAATTTAAGTTAAATTAATGTTTGTTAAGATTATAATCCAGAAACATCAGATTCTTCCTAGAAAGTAAATGGGGTTGTACCCCATTAGTACTTGGAATAGGAGACTTATCAAAAAGTCCCCAGGGTTTAGGACAGATTGAGGGCCATAAAACATTCTGGAAGATGGGAATGGACTGTCACTATTACAATCCTGCCAATTCCATAGACAGGATCATAAGATCAACAAGAATTAAATTCATCTTGAAGGAGATTTTACCTTTGTTGT